AAATGTCATTCCTATAGCCAGGCATGGTAGTACATGTCTATAATCCCAGCACTTGGGAGGCCGAGGCAAGAGGATCCCTGCAAGTTTAAGGCCAGCAATATATGAGGGTTTGAGTTTCTCTATATCACCAACATATTTTCTATGAATCCTAGTAGACATGATGACATGGTGTCTCAGTGTGGTTTCTGATTTGCATTTCCCTAATGAGTACAGAATTTGTGTATCTTTGTGCTTACTGCCATCTGTATAGCTTTTTTTTGTATGTATAGCTTCTTTGGAGAAACATCTATTCAACTTCATTGCCCATTTTTGAAGTGGATTTTTTTTTTAACCCCAATCAAGTAGGTAACTTGCAAATACTTCCCACCCATTGGCTTGTCTTTATCCCAAAAGTGTCCTTGTGATGTACCGAAGTTTTTAATTTCAATAACACCCAATTTATTTTTAATTTTATTGCCCATTTTTGATGCCCTTTTAAGAAATCATTGCCAAATCCAAGATCATAAAGATCTGTTCCCATATTTTCTCATAAAAATTGTTTTTGATTTTTGAGACAGAGTCTTGTCATGTAGTTCAAGCTGGCCTTGAACTCACTATAGAGTCCAGCTAGGCTGGCCTCGAACTTGTGGCAATCCTCCTGCCTCAGCCTCCCAAGTGCTGGGATTAAGGTGTGCGCCAGCACACAGGACTCATAAGAATTTTATAGTTTTAGTCCTTAAATTGAAGCCTATTAAGTTCCTTTTTTAGTATGGTATATGGTAAAGATTCAACTTTTTTTCCCAAGTGCACACTCAATTTTCCCAGCACCATTTGTTGAAGTAACTCTGTTCTTTTCTCATTATATGATCTCGGAATCCTAGAAGGAGAAACAAAACAACACAACTGAACATAAATATGGTTAAATGCCATGAATTAGGAGGTAAGGCCTTAACTATGCAGGTTGTCAGGCCTGAGGGCTTCGTCCTTCCTTGTCAGGAGAATGCTAACCTTTTCGCCTTTCATACAACACAACTGCACACAGATAGGAAAGTTTGTTCAGTTCTTTTTTCCTTTTAATTTTTAATTCTGGGACAGGGTCTCACTAAGTTGCCCAGGCTGGGACCTGGAAAAGTTCTGCCACCATTTAAACCAATAAACCTTCAGTCTAGGGCTGTGCAGACTCTGGGACTTATGGAAACCAGGACTGGCATTGGTCAAGCCTCCATCTTAGCGCAGGAAGTTCACAGATCTCATCAACATTTCCTAAGGCCATGTCCAAAGTCACATGGTCAGCAGCCTCTGAGCTGGCACTGTAGGTGAGGAGACCATGCGTATCTCATTCCAAGGGCACCTTTATTGCACCAGAGATGCCAGGTATGCTTTAGCCAAACACCATAGAGCCACAGAGATAACAAATACAAGGACCTTGACCTCATGCAGGGAAATACCCAACAAAAGCCATCATCTTGTGCTCACTTCGGCAGCACATATACAAAAGTCATCATCTTAGCCAGGTGTGGTGGCACATACCTATAGTTTCAGCCCACAGGCAGCCAAGACTGGAGAATTGTGAGTTCAAGGTCTGCCTGGGACAGAGTAAGATCCTGTTCTCAAAAAAACAAAAGCAAATAAAAAAGAACCACTATTTTTCTTTTCCAAAATTAATGATAGAAAAAACTGTATGAGGGAAAAAATTCCTATGCTGTGTGCTCAGTCACCACCCCTTAGGCAACATGGTGAACAGCCTGCAGTGGAGTCTGTTGCTGTGGCCACAGATGGCTCTGCCCAAGGCTCCAGTAATTCTGAGGTCGAACCACGTTCCTGGGTGATTCAGGGGAGATTCCAAATCCAATGATGAGGGCAGGGGATTTAGCTCAGTGGCACAGCGCCTGCCTGGCAAGTGCGAGGTCGTGAGTTCCACTTCTGATACCACAAAAAAAAAAAAAAAAAAAAAGACAGACAGACAAATCCAATGAAGAATGACTACACCTGGGAAAAAATCAATGTTATCCCCTCTTTTTCTTTCTAATAAGGAGTTACACCTGCCTTAGAGCCTTTTTAAAAGAGGACTTGGCTCATTTTTTTCTCCTTTCATGTCTGCTATCTGAACAGGGCCCGTACCTTGGGTTTGTTTGGGTGTGCCAAGGGTAAAGTTGCAGTGACTGGGGAACCAAAAATGTCACTAGTCTTCCCACCAGGTGGGTTCAGGCGTTGTCGGGTCTGCACAGGAGTTGATTCATCAAAGATTCCACTTCCTTTCCCTCCTGCAGAAACAATCACAAAATAATGAGCACCAGAACACACATTTGACCTTCGCTGCTACTGCAAAGACCTCTTCTCTGAGTATCCTGGTGCCAGTCCTGAGTTCCAGGCAAACAGGGTAGGATGAACCGACTCTAAAACTTCCCCACAAAGACTTAGGTTCCAGCCAACCCTTTCACTTGGGGCCTGCTGCAACTTTCAGGTCTAGACTTTAGCTGGTCTCTAGAAAGGAGAGGAAATAAAACAGTACAATTTCCCTAAAGAGTTTCTTTAACCCTTCACAGTTAAGTCTTCTTATCTAAATAAAAAGCTTTTTAGTAGATTATAAGAACTAAATGTTTAATTCACAGAGTTCTAAAGTTAATAACATGCCCTATTATTCAAAGCAAACCTGTAATCTAGAAAATAACATTAGCCATTCTGACCTTGTTTGGGCTGGAACTTCCAGTGACAGCTAAACAAGTCAGCAATTCACAGACATGTAACATCCTTGCTGCTGAGTGAGTTAACAAGCTGTGATGAAAATGTGCATCTCAGATGGAGCTTCATACACAAGAATCTCTGGATGCCTATTTAGGCAGAAAGATGGCTATAGTTATGATATCAACTGACATTATCTTCATTCAGCAGACACCACACACCTACACAAAGCACTATGCTAAACACAAGAGATCACAGTGCTGGTGAGCCAAGTTATCATCTACAAGAAGAAAGAAGATGTACCCCATAAGCTAGCAATGTGGCTACATGTAAGTCACCTGGCCTTATCTCAAATTACAAAATTTCAAAACAAAGGGGCTGGGGATGTAGCTCAGTGTGAAAGCTCTGGGGTTCAATCCCCAGAAGTGGAAAAAAAAAAAAAGAAAAAAGAAAGAAAATTGAGGCACTGGGATTGAACCCAGGGGTCTTCACACTAAACTACACTCCTAGGTTTTGTGTTTTTTAAAAAAACATTTTAAACAGTTACTTCTTCGATAACTTTGCTGTTGCCACAGGACTCAGGCACCACGTGATGAAAGTAAACCAAGAGCCAGAGCGCTGTGAGCACATGACTAGAGTCTGCTCTCTTGCTAGGGTCTTAAGTTCCCTACTGCTGGGAGGGGCTTAAAAGCAGAACAGCCTTCCAAAAGGCTTCACCTTCTAGGGGAATGGAATACGGCTGCAAAGAAGATTAACAGCATATGGGAAGTGGAGGTTCAGACTAAGGATTCTGCCTTTTTATAGGGACAGAACACTAAGGGACGCATGACAGTCCCTCTGCAAGAAAATATGTGCCTTTGTGTAACATCAGAGCAACTGCAAACCTCTTGAACCTCAGCCATGGACCTCCTAGGGATCCACATTTCTCACACTGGACACTCTCAGCATGGAAAGCCAGCACAGCATGATGCTAGGGACCAGTGGTTTGTGGCCGGAATGCTAGGGTCAGAGTCTCTGCTCAGTCATTCGTTAACTGTATGACCTCAGACAAGTTACTTCACCTTCTTGGGTCCCACCTCCTCAAGTTTAAAAAAGTAAACATAATACCCACTAAGGATTGCCAGTAAGGTTATACTAGCTGTTCAGGTGAAGCAGTCTCACACTATGGCCTGCCAACAAATATCTGGACGATGGTGGAGAAAAGGACCTTACCCCTCTTGTTGGTCCCAGTAGATCTCAAAAGCTTACATAATATTTTTTTTTCTTTCTTTAGTACTGGAGATCAAACTTAGAGGCACTACCAGTAAGCTACATCCCCAGCCATTTTTCTAATTGTTTATTTTGAGACTGGGTCTCCCTAACTTACCTAAGCTAGCCTTCATCTTTCAATCCTCCTGCCTCTGACTCCTGAGTGGCTGAGATTACAGATATGTGCCAATTAATTAAGCTCACATATTTTAAAAAATGTAGATTTACCTTTTTTTATTTAAATGGGAAAAAACCCCCACAATTTGAACATTTTGTTCAAAGATATTATAAATTAAAAAAAAACACAACACTATGAAATAAAACACAGAAAAGTTTTCAGGCTATAACTACCACAAATAACAAGTCAGCACTGGCCAGAGCAGACAGAATAGTGCTAGCTGTCAGAAACTCCCTATGTGTCTCTGCCCTCTCACCCAAGGTCATCATATTCCTCAATTTTCTGAAAACCATGAACTTGCAATTTTACCCCACATATACCCAGCTTCACAGGAGGCTGAGGCAAGATAATCACAAATTCTAGCCCAGCCTGGGTAACATAGCAAGATCCTATCTCAAAATGAAAAATAAAGGGCTGGGATGTAGCTCTGTGGTAGAGTGCCCCTGATTCCATTCACAAAACAAAACGGAAGCAATCACTCCAAATATTTATTACTCAGTATTTTCCTTGAAAACCTAATTCAGTTTTGAAAAAAACATGACCAATTAGCCCATAACTAAAACAAAATTCAAGATGTTTCTAGAAACCAAATTTCAAAGAATAAACACTGCACTGGTGGAAACAAACATGCACACACATTATGGGTAAATGGTGGCTAAGTTCTTTATGGAGACTTTCTGCAAGTAACTGTCAGTTTTTTAAACTGATAAAACACACTGATGTAGCAATTCCATTTTGAGAAATTTATCCCAATGGATGTATTCAGGAAATAAATGTAAAGCATGAACTCTGAAGGCAGGAAAACCCACATCCACAAGCCAGTTCTGCCAATAACTCACCATGGGGCTCAAGCACACCAGTGAACATTTCTAAGCCTCAGTTTCTGCCACTATAAAATGGGTGGTATTAACTAGCTCCTAGAGTTGTGGTGAAGAAACACAGTTGAATCACTTACCATAGTCCCTGACACATATTAAACAAGCCATAAATATGACTCATCATCAGCTGAGCAGGAAAACAATTTGCAAAGTTCAAGAAAAGGCAACCAGCAAAGAGTACATAGACTATAAAAGAGGTGAAGAGACACTGACAATCTCTATTATTTCCACAGATGTCACACATTAAGTCACCTGTATTCTTTGCCTTTGCGTATTTTCTCAGTCAGGACCTAACTGGAATGTTGGCAGCAGGGCCAAGCCTGTGTGACTAGGCAGGACCTAGTCCTTTGGTGACAGACACAACTAGCAGTTGTGTGCCTTTCAGGCTTTAGAAGAGTACTTGGCAAGATGGAAAACAAACCCCAAAACCACAAATCACAACATCATCTGGGTGTGGTGGTGCACAGCTGTAACCCTAGCACTTGGGAGGTTGAGGCAGGAGGATCACTTTGAGTTCAAGGGCAGCCTGGGCCAATAGTAAGTTTGAGGCCAGCCTGACCTATACAGTGAGACTCTGTTTAAAAAAAAAAAAAAAAAACAGGGGCCAAGGATTTAGGTTAGTGGCACAGTGCCTGCCTGGCAAGTGCAAAGTTCTGAGTTTGATTCCCGGTACAAAAGAAAAGAAAAGAAAAGAAAAGACACCACCAAAATAGTAACATTAGCTATTAGCTCCTACCCCCAACAACAAACCAACACCAAAACTATCTTTTGAATCTATTTTTTTGTTTTTGTTTCATTTTGTTTGAGACAGGGTTTCACTTTGCAGTCCAAGCTGGCCCTGAACTTATGGTGATCCTCCTGCCTCTGCCTTTGAGTGTTCAGATTACAGGTGTGTGCCATCATGCCTGGCAGATTACTGCTTTTGTGCCTCTACATTGTTTAAGAAATATCTATACTCAAAATTGGTATGAGGAAACAGTTCTAGCATGTGTGGCTAGACTTCCAGTGTGGCTCTCAAATATTTTAAGGGTAGAACCAACCTTGCTTTCTCCTCATGAATAAGCAGGGAAAAGGTATTTGGTAACTGTCACTGTGTGCATCAGAACAGTCTATCATCCAAGAGAAGCCTTTCAGAGATTCTCTCCCCCTGTAACTAACAGACAATGGAGTAAGTATTGAAAAACTATATTGTGTATACTGGTTTGATTTTGTCTAGAGTTTCAATTCTACTGAAGTCAGATCAAAAATAATCTCCATCTCTAAGAAAAATGTTTGAATGCATGATAAGTTGCATGCAATTTAAGGAATCTCAAGAGGTCCAAGAACCAGAATCCTACTAACCAGGTTGGTACCTTTAGCAACTTCACTCAACCCTGTCAAGCATTCAAGAGTGCTTGACCTGAGCACGCTGGGAGGCTAAGGTACAAAAATCACAAGTTCAAATCTATAGGCAACTTAACAAGACAATGTCTCAAAATAAAAAAAATTTTTCAAAGGGCTGGAAATGTAGCTCTGTGTGAAGGCCCAAGGTTCAATCCCCAGTACTGCAAAACAAACAAAAAACAACAACAAAAACCAAAACCAAAATCAAAAACCAACCAAGACTGCGTGAGCCACCTTCAGTGGAGAAAGTAACAGCAAAAAAAGCTTTCTTTTCATTTTAGAAGAACTCTGATGATAAGGGATAGCCTATACAAGAAAACATCAGGAAGAATTAATGTAAAGAAACAGAACATATTTTCAAAAGAACAGAAAAGAGAATTGGTAGAGACCAATGGATCTTGGATTTATAAAATACCTGGGGGATTTGTCCTCTTGGGTATGTTCTGAGGTTCTTCAGTTGGTCCAAAAATATTAGATGCCATCCTATTAGGCCTGTTTGAAGGAACAGCTTCTTCCAGACTTCCAAAAAGATTGCTAGATTCTCCTCCTGGGGGTTTCATGGCCCTACACACATAGAACAAACATGAGTTACTGATGACTGGCCTAGAAACTTGGCACTATGAAGTATGGGTATAGCTAGACAGGGCAGAAGTTATTCCTTCAACATCAATGAACAACTGGGTATGGTGGTGCATGCCTGTAATCCCAGCACTTGGGAGGCTGAGGCAGGAGGACTGCTGTGAGTTTGAGGCCAGCCTGGGCTACAAAGTGAGCTCAAGGCCAGCATGAAACTGCAGTGAGACCTTGTTTCAAACAAAACGAAACACCACCTATGGACAAATCACATAGCACAATTATTTAAAGCTTGTATGAACAGTCTACTTTATTTACTGCCATTAAGTTTCCCTTAAAAAGTTTTATGCATCTCAGTTATGCCAAAAAAAACCCCTCTAAAAGTTTGTATGTTTTGAGATTACTCCTATAATCTCTCTTAAGTTGCCCTAACACAGGTAAATTGAGTTACATTCAGTAGAAGTTAACAATTTTATAGTACAGACATTTAGTGCTATAAATACATTCAGTAGTGTTCCATTTTGTAGCTTACAGTTGTTCAGTGCTTACTATATTCCAGATAATATTCTGAATACCTCATAAGCATGGTATACTCAGAACCCTACTACAACCCTATAAGGAAGGGGTTATTTTCATAGATGATGAATCTGATGTCTGTAACTATGTCTTATATAGTGATTACATTATGAAATAATATTTTACATATATTAGGTTGATTAAAACCTGTTAAAATTAATTTCTGTTCTTACTACTTTTTGGTTTAATTTGATTTTTGGAGGCAGAATGTTGCAGAATCTGTTCCCCAAGCGGGCCTTAAACTTGCAATCCTTCTGCTTCAGCCTCCCAAATAGCTAGGAACACAAGGGGGCTGGGGATTTAGCTCAGCGGCAAAAGCGCCTGCCTGGCAAGCGCAAGGTCATGAGTTCGGTTCCCGGTACCGGAGAAAAACTAAAACCAAAAAAAACAAAAAACAAAAAACAAAACACAAAAAAAACAAAAAAAAAATCTAGGAACACAAGTAGACACCACTGTGCCCACTTTTTAAAATGTGGCTCCTTGAAAATATACAATCCCTCTACTGTGCAGTGTTGGCCTAGACTAGTGGGGGCAAACCTATGGCACTTGTGCAGCAGTGGGCTGTTTCTATCACTGAAAGCTCTAGAAGGGTCACCATCACTGGCCTAGACCATTGAGAGGGCTACCACTACCAATCTGAGTAAGTCCTGGGTATCTACACTGAATAACTGCCTATGGGCCTGAGGTCTTATATAAACACCCAAATGCCCAAACTAAACAGATAAAGAACCATTTGTTAGGGCCAGGGTTGTAGATCAGTGGTAGAACATTTGCCTAGCATGTATAATGCCCTGGGTTGAATTTCCAGGATAGTAGACAAAATAACAACCTGCTAGCATGGCTCACTGTTCATTTTAGACCAGGGCATACAGAATGAGTGTCTCCTCTAAAATACACTGAGAGGCACCTGAACTGCTGCTCTGTTCCCATCTGAAAAAGGCCCTGGTGAAGGGAGGAAGAATGTATCTGTTTTTTGTGGGTTTTTTCTCTTTTTCTCTTCTTGGTGGTACTAGGGATTGAACCCAGGGCCATGCTAGGCAAGCACTCTACTACCACTGAACTGCATCCCTACTGCTTTTTTAAAATTTCTAAGACAGGGTATTGCTAAGTTGCCCAGGCTAGCTCAAACATCTGATTCTCCGGCTTTAGCCTTCCAAGTAGCTGGGAATACAGGCCAGTGTTACCAATCAGTTAGAAATTTAAAAAAACAAAAACCCAACCAGTACCCAGGATTACAAAGGTCTTCAAGCATAGTCTCCATTCATGTCCTTGGAAAAACAGCTGGAGATCTGTAATCTTTAGAACTAAGCTGAATTGGGTTTCATGACTCATGCTAATATGAGTTGTAATCCTTATCTTACTAATTTATTTGGAAGATGGCTGTCTTTCAAACCCACAAGGTCCAGTTGGAGCAGATCTGCACAGGGGCACTCTACACTCTTGGCTTCTTCCAAGTATCCTCTTGCTCTCACATATTTGAACACCAATCACTAGCAACCCTGCACCAGAGCCCGTAGGAGGAAAAAAGATTAGTAAGAGCAAGTTCTCTACTATAAGCATCATGGTTAACAGGAAAGCCAGATCCGTTTTTTGGTGGTTTAAATGTTCCATGTGTGTAACGTGACAGAGGCACTGAGTATTTTTTGAATTTTAAGCCCACTTCTGGAAGAGGCGAGTCCTAAAATGAGCGGTGAGACCCAGTCAGCGGTCAGGCACAGGATGGATGTGCTAGTTACTTGAAATGAAATGTTAATATGGAGATGGTGAAGAAAAAATATATGGGGATGGTGGACATATATTAAATACATTTAATATTGTTCTGTATGTTATGAATTTTACAAGTAAACAAGCATAGAAAAGAAACAGTAACAAGGATTATGGCAGAGGCCTGGCCACTTGGGAAGAGGCAGTGGCCATCTCCATCACAAAGGCATTGAAGCCAGCACAACAGGTTTCACAGCTTGCAACAGTCAAGCGAGTGGCAAGGCTGCCCCAGCAGGGTCTCACATAAATGGGACCAAGAGTTCAATAGGCCTTTCAATGAAAATAGGGCCACAACAATGGTGTAGTGTGGCCTCCTGGAAGTTCCAAGCAGCAGTTATCACTATAATACTAAGGGGGAGGGGAATACAAGCCAGCTGAAGATACTTGAGAACAAATTCACAAAGTGGTGTACATCCCAATTTTTCTTTTTGTAGTAACTCTTCAACATATTTCAGTAAAGATATTCAAAATACACAAGACAAAGCAAGGGAGAAGGGCCAAGAAGAAAAGCCCACGTGGCCCTAGTGGAGTGTGGTACTGGAGAGGCAAAAACCTGAAGAACTCTCACCTGTAGCCCCTCATCCCCATTCAACCAAAGGGCTTAAGCATTATAGGCAAGTACTCTACACTGACATACACCCACAGATCTCACCTTGAAGGACCTGATCTTCCCTCCAATACCATGTCCCCAGTTTCCGAAAAGCTTTTGGGGATTGGTTAGGTTTGGGGAGAAACTGTGAAACAAACTTGGAATAAAATCTCCAAAAATATCAATTTTACACTTTAAAAAAACTTTAGACCAAGGATGGCTAAAACAATGCATTTACAGTTCAAAATTCGTTAGCACAAAACAATCCCTCTGAAACCAGCCAGAAGATGTAGGGTTAGAGGACATGAAAACCTACAAAGCTAATCGTACAGGGGCAGCTTGATTCCCTTTAGAGCAAGACCGAGTGGGATTCAGGAAGGAGGTCTCAGTCTGGCAAGGACCTATCCTATCCTGCACCCAGACAGGACCCCAGCCAAAACAGCTTCTCACGGGTCCCAGGTGGTTTACATTAACACTCCACCATCCAGTGAAAAAAGGCTGGGTTTCACTTTCCGTCAGCCCACGTCTGATTTCTCTCCAATACCCTTCCCAAAGGATGACTACTCTTCAGTTCAGAAAGTCAGTCTAACACCAGGGCCCCTCACGTGGTACCGACTTAACCACCACTTTGTGGACAGCAGCTCGGGCAGCTCAGACCCAGGGGGCCGTGGAAAGCGGATGTCACTTAGAAGGTGCTGAGGCCAAGGGCCAGCTATCGGTCACCTAAAACTCGACCCATTTCACTCCACCCCGTTTAGGGCGGACGGGCCGGAGGCCCAGCAGTCAATACTCAGAGGACTAACGTTCGTCTCAGTCAGGAACTCTGGCGGAACCTGCCCTAAATCGGCCACCCTTAAAGATGGTCGGGGCGGGAGCTACAGAGGACTCCTGACACGGTGGAAGGCTTAGCCGCCCCCGCCCTGTAGCCTCCTGGGAGGCCGGGCCTCCGCCGACGCCCGGGCGCGCTCGCGCTCAGAAAGGACCTGATAATTCCCAGTCCAGCAAGTCTCGGAGGTCTCCCGGCCCCTGCTCGCTATGTGGTTGCAGCCCCGCGCCCGTGCACCTGGAGCCTGCCGGGTCAGCCTGGCCATCCACGCCCTGGAACATGTCGACCGCCGCCCCAAGCTTCTTCAGCCGCCCCGCGACGGTTCCCGCCCGGCCCCGAGCAGGTATCCTGGCTCGCCCACGCCCGTTGGAGAGGGCACGCGCCAATCTCACTGTCGCGGCCAATCGTAGTGCAGGCTCCGCTCCTGCCCACCCCCAACGAGAGAAGGCCGGGACAGGTTGGCGTCGCCCTCGCAGTCCATTGGCCACAGCAGACGCCGCTCAAACGCCGGGCGCACGCATAGGTCCGCGACTCCGCCCGCCCTCTGTCACTGGGCGCGTCCCTTCTTTGCGAGCCCGGGTTAGGTTAGGAACCGAGTGCCCCGTACTCAAGCCAACCGGACCCAGGCGAGGTTTCCGGGCTGCGGCAGCAGGAGGCGCTTGTGCCCTCTGCAGTGTTCTCAGAAGCAAGCAAGGGCTCAAGGTGGCGCTTCTCTCTGGCAGATCCACACCTGTCCAGTCCCAGAACTAGCAGAGGCCCGAGCCACACCTGCCTAAATGGGGGCTCATGTAACACGTAACATGTAATCCACATTGCACCTCCGCTACACTTGGGCGCTCTGTCATTAAAAACAAGCACGAGACAATTGTTAAATCAAGTATTAGTATGTATTTATGCACAATAAAAACATTTACAAGTTGAACTGGAAATTTACACAGAAGTTTACCGGCTTTTATATTAAATAACCAAAACACCTTTTATTCCCAAAATTGGTAAAGAATAAATAATATAATTTACAATATGGTACAAAAAATAATCAGGAAGGACAGGCATTCTGCTTTTTACATACACTGTATATTTATAATCTATAAAACAAATTCACATCTCAAACAAGCCAGAAACCTTAGATGATATGGCTTAACGATTATTAAAGCAAACAGCACTGAGTTCTGCGGCCCACACCGCAGGCTACAACCAGGAATCCCATCTGACAGTGCAGGGGTGGGTTGGTGTAGTGCTTTCAAGACTGGACTGACCTCACAGGACCAACAAGTTACTGGGAGACTGGAAGAGTTCTGAAAGCTCAGAAAGGCGTACTGTGGGTTTCTTCCATTTTTTAAAAAAAAATTTTTTTTTTCTCCTTAAGAGAAAGTGCTGTATTGCCTCACAAATAAATCCAAGAGACCTCAATGTTTAAAAAGGAGATTTAACTGTTTCCCTCCTCACTTGTTTCCAGCTCCTGCAGGGTAAATTTGGACTTAATAGTGTAATTACAGATGCTAATAAGTTGAAAAGAACCTCTTCCAGCAGTGAGATCACCATACAGAATGAAGAAGAACAGGAGTCCAAAACTAAGACCTTGGAGGTGTAGAAAATCAGGCTTGACAGATTGGTGAGATGTCCCCAAGGATACCCACTCCTTGACCAGTACTCTACCCTACAGGATATGGAAAAATGAACTTCCAACATAACTCTGGGTCTTGAGGATGGGATGCTCATTACTCTGTATTAACATTAAGGAAGGCTAAACACCAACTTCTCTGACAGGAGAGATAATAGGTCTCAATCTTTAGAAAAGATGAATTCACAAAAAGATTCCAGAAACAGAGATTGGGGAAAGATTTTTCTAAGAAATTGATCTTGTCTCAATTATACGTGCTCAAATCCACAAAGGACATCAGTAGTTCACATTGGACTATTATCACAGCTCTGCTGGCATGGCAGAGGAGTTTAACCTGGAAAGCTTCTCCTACTGGGTCTTTTGAAAATTCCATCCTTTAACAGCTGCCTATTTTATAAATAAATATTCACTTAAGCTGGGAGAAAAAGACACCTACTGTTTTCTCTGCTACACATTACAGCATTTTCCCCTCAACATAGCAAGCAAATGACAATACCTGTCTGGCTGCTAGAGAAACTGCAAAACTCTCTGAAATCCATCAGAGTGACCACAGGACAGTTGGTTAGTTTACTTCCTTTCCTCACCTGCCTGCCACTAAGTGACAACAGCTGTAGCTGGCAGCTCCCAAGTTCAGTCTTCAGGGTGGGTGGTCCTGCCAAATAGCCTGTAAGAGCTGTTCCTGATCTCCAGTTTTGCTCTTTGTATAAAGATCATAGGATAATGGGTGCCTGATGGGCAGCAGCTTGGGAGTGGGACTGCCCACCATAGTGGACACTGGTCACAATCAAAACATCTTAGGCCCTAGACTGAAATTGTAAGGAAGCTAGCAGTGGCCCCAGCTCAGCTTGGCATCCTAACCTATGGCAGACCAGAGAGATGTGGTGATTTTCAGCTCAATGTGGTACTAACACCAGAAAGCTGACATTAGGCATAAAATATAAAATACTCTAGTTTAAACACAGCTATCTCCTAATAAAGTAGTGTCATGTTCCTGTTCTTATTCTTTCAGAGCTTAGGGACTGCGGAGTGTAAGGGAGTTGTAGCACTGACTTTCAAGGTTTGGAGGAGTAGCAGAGCATGATGGTACGTGCCTGTAATCCCAGCACTCTGGGAGGCTGATAGGAGGATCACAAATTCAAGCCCATCCTGGGCAACTTAGTGAGACTCTGTCTATGAAATGAAATGGCTGTGAAAATAGCTGAGTGAAGGCCCTGTGTTCAATCCCTAGTACTGCAAAAAAGGAGGAAAATAAAGATTTGGAAGAGAGAAGCACCAGGAGGAATGTGTGAGGCAAAAGAAGAAAGCTGCTTTCTAGAACTGTTGCTCTATTTCCTCTACTAATGCTTGTAGTCTAGACTGGGGGCAATGAGATGACAGGATGGAGAGGGTCCATACCAGTCACCTTTCCTCCTCCTTGTACACTGGCTCCCTTCTTCACTACAGATGGAGACAGAAGGCAGTGGGGTGGGGTCTGGGTTTAAGGGGGACCATGCAAGTAAGGGAAGGGAGAGTAGAGGAGGTGGAACAGAGGAGGTGGCAGGTTCAATGGGCTAGAAATGACAATTGTGACTGTGGGATAGTGAGTGAACAGGTGAGAGGGCACATGGACATCATCTGCCCACACCACTGCCACATGAGATATGACTGGTGATTTCTGCATTTAGACCTCCTGAGGCTGAGGAGAAAACAGAGCCCACATTGGGCCCTTCTAGGAAAAGAATGGATGCTGGACCATGGACCACCTTCAGTTATAACTGGCCACCAAGGGGTTCCAGGTGGGAGTCATCAGAATCCATCAATTGGTGAACTCTGACTACACCTGAACATCTGAATCCTCACTAAGTTCCTTGAGGTGTGGAGGCAAAGGCATGTGTGAGGGACTAATTGAATGTGTGAGGGATACCTTATGCCAACATCAGCAAAAGGAAGAAAGCTCTGAAGACAAAACCTTCCATACAGAGGCAGATCTGTCTCAGATGCCACGCAGTAACACATAAGAGGCTAAAGAAGGTATGAGGAAAGTCTTGTCTGTAGTCATATTACTGCTTTGGGTTGAGCCCAGTAGAGAGAAAAAAATGGATCACCTAGGATGAACCTGCATAGGGACCCAGGGAGGAAAACAGAGGATTCTGCTCTTCCTTGAGTATATCTCCTAATTCTTAAAAAAAAAAAAAAAATTTCAACAATCTTAGTAGGATCCTAGAAAATATCCATGCAACCTGCATGAGACATGATTTCCTTTCCCCTTCCTGTTATGTCAGTTAGAACAAAACTGCTGGGAAAAGCACTAAGCAAGAAGCAGTATTCTGGGGAGATGGCACTGATTATACTGCCCTGTGACCCTTCTCTGGGCCATGACCAGGGTATCAAACTGTTTACAATCTCAGGGTGTGGACACTGCCACACAGGAGCCCAGGCTATACCCACTGTCCCCCTCAACATTGTAAGATAATAGCCAAGTGGGACAAAAGCGTATCAGAAAACAACAGCCTGGAATCCCTCAGATTACAACTCCCAGGATGGAACAACTAGGACAGGGCGCACCCCTTCTCTCACCTGCTAGGGTGCTCAACACCACAGTGAAGGCAATGTAGGATAGCCAAGCAGACCCCAGGACAGATCCCAGGAGGACAAAGAATGGAGCAGTTCCTGATATTGGCCCTTCTCAGAGGTCATCCTGGCTCAGTTCACTATGGTCCCTGCTTGCTGGGATGGGGCTTTGGGATGGCTGTTCTTGGATGCTGCACCCTGGGGTCCAAAAACAGTCTTCTGGGGATTTTGGGCTTGCCTTCTTCCTCTAAAGAGAAGAGGATTTCATCTGCCACAGGTGAGGACAGCCAGCACACTAAGCCTTCTCTACAGCCTTCAGGGTACCCTCCCTACAAGGCACGGTCACTGTGAGAGGTCCCCAGCAGGAGGGCCGCCTCCACTACTATCAAACAGAGCCTCTCGGCGGCCAGGCTCGGTGATGGACAACTCTTGGGCCAGGTCATTGAACCGAGATATATAATCAATGCTGTTCTCATTCATCATGCATGCCAGCTGAGAATCCACCACCTGCAGAACAGAAAGAAAAAGGAAGACCAAATCAGCTAGTGGCTGGCTTGTTATGCCACTAGACTAGAGAGAACTGGCTACCAAGGTGGAAATGGCAGTGGAGAAACCCAGTGCTCAGTGGGAATTTTCACAAGTTTCTCTGTGATTTGAACATGCACTGTTTCTGCAAGTACTCATGAATTGCCCATTGGGAATTGGACAAGTCTGATGATTGGGCGCTGGCAGCCTTGAGATTTGGGGGCAACAGTCTATAGAGAAGCAAACAGTATACTATGAAAGTCAAAGCTCAATAAAGAGCCTGAAGGAAACAAAAGCAGAGTTGGCCACCGAATTGGGTCCAAAGAGGGCTCTCCATGGATCCAGAATCTGACAAGTGAGGGAATAAGTCCCTCACCCATAAGTGTTTCAGATCATTCTTGTAGGTAAGGAAGACTCTTGCAAACACTCTTAAAAACTCTTCCAGTGGTGTTTTTAAGTAGAAAGTTCTCAGGAAAACCATTTGCTAGACACTCACGGAATCCGCAGGTACATTTGTGTTTGTGTTACTTGCTATGACAGTGTTCTATGCAGCTCACTGTCATGATGTCACACGCATCATGTCAACCAGGAAGCTTGCTGACAATGCAAACTCTGACTCAGGGTCCTGCGATAGGGCTGAGTGTGTCCCTAACTCCAAGATGTTTCTGCAGGGCTCATCTTCAGAGGAGCTGAGGACTTAAAAAGAGTGTCCACACTAACATGGAAAGGGAAAGGCACTGGTTTCTTGTGGAATATCTCTGTGACAGGTGTTTTGTGAATGATAACTCTGTAGCTAAATACGTTTGAGAAATGGTATGTACTGTGTGAGGGAAAATCATTATGTTATGGTGTCTACATTTACAATGGCTGAAATTCTCAATTACATAATAGTTTGCTCAGAACTTGCCAATGCTTTCCTGTAAGTTTACTACTTCCAGATTCATAATAGGACATGAGAAGATAGGGAGCCCATGGGAAAGAGCTGTCTGTGGTTGACTCAAGATTTCCCTTAAGTGCCTGACTATAGAACCTTGCAGAATACCTACCAAGGCCTTGAAATCCTGGGGAACAGTTTGGGAAATGTTGTTCCAGGAATTTGACAACAGGCCTAAATCGAACCAAGTAGCATTCTAGATTTAGGATCCTCCCCCATCTTATTATGTGCTTTGCTCAAGTCTCTCTATGGCAACTAAGGTTCTGTTCCTTAAAACACAGTTAAATGCATCTGTCTTGACTTCACCCACCAGCAATGCCCCTGCAGAGCACAGTGGCCAGAGATGCACACAAACAATATGAGGGACATGTGAGTGGCTGCAAGAGCAGCTAGCCTAGCTGAGAACAAGAGGAACAAAGCTCTGGCCCCCAAAATCTTGCCTTTATATCAAGCACCTGCCATAATGTGATTCCTACTACCACGATCTGAATGTGGGAGAGGCTCCAGTGGAAACTGGATAGGGCCCTTCTGCAAAACTTGTCTTAAGCTCCACTGGGCCATGGCTGTGCTACAGAACCATGAACATGCTACTTGAAGGTTTCCTGTTGCCAGGATGGGGGGATGGTGATGACACAATCTTTTACAATTACTCCTTCCTCTTCCGCAACAGCACTGAACCTCACACATCAGCAAACTAAGGCAGCATGAGGTCACAGAGCTGAAGGGCAAGATGTGATTTAACTCAGTTCCACTTTTCTTCAGAGACCCCACTTCCCACCTTGGACTTCCCAGGACTTCCCAGACTCTGATGCCTTTAGGGCCAGCTGTTTACTTAAGGTCTACTACTGACTTCACAGTTGGCAGATCTTAAGAGGTCAGAGACCCAGACTTGTACATGCTTTCTCCTGATGTCACCTCTTGGCAAATAGTTCTTATTACTCACAGATCTCAGGAAGAACCAGGCACTCTGGGACAGAATGGGCCTTTAAGTTCAGGGGCAAAGTAGTATACATACCTCTGCAACATCAGCCAAGGATCTGGACACAAAAGAGTCCCGTGAATTTCCATCCAACAAGCTGGGGCCAAGCAATGAAGTGCCACTGTTAGATCCAATGGGAGTTGGGAGCATCTTTCGGCTCTTCTCTGGAGAGATGAAGCTGGCTGCAGAGAATGTCAAAGACAATACCCTGAGTTCACTAAAGGATCTGAGGGCTGGAGGCCCCCTCCAGGCCTCTACCCTCATGCTTGCCTGAAGGGATCTGATGACACCATCATACTGTGACTGACTTTTCCCATATGATCTGTCTATCTATCATCTTAAAGGGACCCCAAAGTGGTGCACTGTCTGGTTGCTACCCCTGCCACACAAAAAAATGTAATTCTCTGTGCCACTTCCTCACTGACAGACGATAAAGCTGTTTCCAACTTTTCATGATTTGCATGTGACTTTGCTCATGTCTGCACTGCTTTATTTGACCAAAGGAACCATTCATGGTGGGCTGGCTCCCTCTCACATCCCAGACTCAGAATCCCAGGCCCTCCTAGCTCATGAGATACAAGCTCCACAATTGCAGCTGACCAAGTTCATTGTGTATACAGTATGCCCTTCTCTGGGGCTGCTGTCCTATAACCATCTCTAAATATTCACCATTCTATAAAATTTCAGATGTGTAAATAGGACTGCTTCTACGCAGGCAATAGTAGCTGTGTGACTTTTTTGGCGTGTCCCTTCCCTCACACTCACACCTGGTACTACAGAAGCAAATGGGTGGGGAAAGCAGGCACATCATCTTACGTTCTCCCATGTATGGCTGAGAATGTGACAAATGGTGCTGCAATATCCATTTCAGAATATCTTAGTGACTACAGAAACTCACCAAACAAGCTGCTAAGTGAGGAGTCCGTGGAGTCACTGGGGTACCACTGGGGGTCGTGGGTGGGAGAGGCAATCCAGTTGGGCTGGGGACTGCTGGACGGGGAGGGAAGGCTCTTGGAACTGTCGCTGCCATTGAGCTTTGCTGGAGAAAGAGGGACTCCTTCACCTGCCAACCAAAACCCTGGGTCAGAGATACTCTCCAGGCTGGGTGTGGTGGCACACCCTTATAATCTCAGCACTCAGGAGGCTGAAGCAAGAGAATGCTGTGCATTTGAGACCAGTCTGGGATACAATGTGAGTTCAAGGACAGCCTGAACTGCATAGTGAAACTGTCTCAAAATGACAAAAACAAAAAGATACTTCCCCAATCCACAAGGAGGAGGCAGTGGTGGAGGTGCTGTGTACTGCTAACCAGGGCTCATTGGGCCCCAATTTCATCCTGGTATGGTCTACAGACAAGGACAAAAGGGCTTGCAGGATGGCTTTGTGCCATAGGAAAGACATGATGCAGAATACAGCAGTGACAGCATGGTCCATGGATGGAGCCAGGCCTTGTGCCCAGACCTCCATGCTGAGCATCTCCATAGCACCATGAGAGGGTATACACTGTTCCAAATCACCTGCCCAGAAACTTAGGCTCATGGTGGCCTGAACAAGAGCATGTGCTGATCACTGCAAACTTACATGTCTAAACTAATGGCCTGACTCACATTAGTGAGCAACAGCCATACTGTGTTACAAGGTACACCACACAGGGTGAGTGGGTGCAAGACCTTAACAGCTACAAAGTGGGTTACTTGCTGAGCACTGTAAAACCCACACAGGCTGTCTTGTCACACTTGCAATCAGCCAGGAAGGCATGCCTACTGATCCTTGGGCTACAGAGCACTGGCAGATAGTCAATGCTCAAAAACAAGAGATAAACTGGAATATTCCCAGTACATTTAGCAAATATTCAGCAGGTCAGGACCCCTAAGAGCATGTCTGATCATCATGTTCTTGGGGGGAACCTGGTACAAGAAAGGGTAAGCAAGACCTCTTGGTCTTACCAAACTGGCCAGAACTAATTGCAATCTCGATGATGGAGTCGCTGATCTGTGTTGCAGGCTCTCCCTGTGAGAGCACATCCTCAGGTGGACCAGGTAGAGAGATGTCCAGCAGTGCAGAAACATTAGGTGGGGAGAGCCGGGTGCTGGAGCCCTCTGATGAGGATAAAGGTGTGCAGAGACCGTTCTGGAGAGGAGTTTTGGGCAGCTCAGACAAAGAGAGAACAGATGAACCCTGCCAGGAAACAGGTATTGTTTAGATACAAGTGGCCACTCAGAACCCAAAATAGCATTCATAGCCTCAGCCTCACAGCTTAGCCTTAGAGCCTCACAGCTTGGTGGCTGCAATGGGTACAAAGGTCTCCTCATCTTTTCAAGTGAGGATGTAATCAGGGAATCTATTCCCAAAACTACTTGCAACTGCAGAGTCAGAAAGCCAGGCCAGAGTACACTGGGACTGCTTCCACTGCTACTAGTGATTCAACTGGAGAAACCAGGCAGAGAGCAAATACTGGCGAGCCACCAGCTGATGGCCTCTTTTATCCTGGCCCAGAACTAGTTTTTCAGAACAGGGTCTGAATGAAGGAAGTGAGAGCTGGAAAACAGCTGAATCCATTCATTCACCAGGACACATATAATGTTGAAAGAAAGAACTGAACTCATCAGCACCAAGGTCTGTCTGTAAGCAGGGAGGGTAAGGACTCAGCACTAGAGGGGTCTTACAATCCAAAATCTCACTCTACCTGGAAACTGTCTGCCACTGGCTCCTGCTCCGGCCTTGGGGGAACATTGATGAATGCGTCGCCTGTACCCTGCAAAAACACCAAGAAGACCAGTGAGCAGCCCACATGTGATGTGCCAGAACTGTGCCCAAGTGCTCACCTAACTGAGCTCCAGAGAAAGAGCTGTTCAGTCACCCTACCTTCCCACCAGTCAGAGGTATAGGCAACAGATCATGCTCTCAGCTGAAAAAGCTGTGGACTCACTTTCACTTGAAAATTTTGTTGTTTCAAAGACAGAAATCAAGTCCAATTAAGAAGCCAGTTTTATAATTTCAGACATACAGGGCTCCCTGGTACCCTATGGGGCCAACTCACCCACCCTTCCTACGCAGTTATCAAACAGGCTAAGAAACCGGAGCACTTGGAGAATCATGAAGGAAAGGTGGTTAGGGCCATGAGCAAATTCTCCACCCAGATGCATGAAGTGGTCAGTGAACCCTAAGCAGGGAGCCATGGACTGAACTGCTGGCTAACATGGCTGTGGTTCAGAGCATTATTGTCACATGTGTCTTCACTCCTGGATTCTCCAATGTCACACAGCAAACCTGTCCTTTCACCTCTTTTGCTCTGTATACCACAGCACTCATTTGGACCTTGGCTTCTCTGACTCAGTGGCTCCTCTAACCCATCAGCCTAACCCTTCTATAGGCAGAGCTAGATCTAGCATACCAGCTCCTTGGCCTGGCTCCCACTTCAAAAGCTGGTGGTACACCAAACAGCCCCCTTTTGAACACACTCACCCCCATGGTAGGGACAGGGTCTCCATTCTGGTGGGATCCAGTGGAGTCCTGACTTGAGACGGTAGCTGTCACCTCATCTGAGGACAGTGGAGAGATGCCAGATAAGCTCTCAGTCTCCAAGACTGGTAAGGGGCTTCCAGGGATAATGCCAGCACTTTGAGCTGCTAGGTCAATTGCACCTGGCAATAGAAGCAACATTTCAGACCTCTGCTCCATGACACCTCAGGATATATGTAGAGAAAGCCCAGGAGAGCTTCCCCTTCACTCCTGTCAATGCAAGAGCTAGTAGATTTGATGTTCTCTTTAAAAGTTAACGAGACATTACAGTTTAGAGAAAAACAAAATGCTACACAATAGCTTTCACCATGAAGTTTATAGACTCACTGGCCAGGTGACTTGTGGCCTGGGATGGAAGGACCTTGGGAACGATTGGCCGAGACAGGGCTGCTTTGGTCAGAGAAGACTGGATGGGCCGGAACGAGCCTCTCCCTGTGAGGGAAATACAAAGTTAATCAACTTGGCCTGCCTATGCCGTTAGAGCACACAATGGAGCTGCAGAAGGTTTTTTTCATAGATATAGCTGGGATCAGGGAGGCCACACAACTTTCCAAATATTTGCTAACTTGGGGAGTCAGAGATCACCCAGGTATCCAACAGGAAGTGCAGGTCTGGAACCTGCCTTGGTGGTACCACTGTGCCTCCCAGGAGCTGTTGAAAGTCTACAGTGACCACTGTCATCTGAGAATGGCCCTTTGTGACAAGCCCCTGCAATGAAGTGCAGGTTCCTTAGAGCCAATCAGTGCATCCCGACCTTGGACTAAGACTCTGCCACTGCAATTTGTTTTTATATTGTCTTCTCAGTTGAAAAGTAAGCATGAGAGCTAGGTGCAGGGGAACACACCTACTGTAATCCTAGCACTCAGGAGGTTGAAATAGGAGGATTGCTGCAAGTTCAAGGCCAGCCTAGGCTACATAGGGAGTTCAAGGCCAGTCTGAACTGCACAGTGAGACTTTGTTTCAAAAAAAAAAAAGCATGAGAGAAAGCAATCAATAGCAGATTAGAATCAGGAAGACAGTTTAAAAAAAAGATAGATCACATAGGACATGTTCCACTTACATGCTCACTGTGTAAGATGCACTTGAAAGTACAAGGGCCCTGGTTAATCTACATACCCCAAGAACATATCTACTCCATAAAACATCTGACATATCTCTGCACAAAGAAGACAGATGGCACATGCTTTGCTGAACAGAACAATTCACAAACAGGGTCTGCTGAGACCACATCTAGAAATGTGCCCTGCAACCCACCTGTCAGAGTCCTCTGCCCTGGCTCAGCTGCAGCCAGCCAAAGCACAGAGGCACATGGTATTTGCTTGTAGACTGCAAGCAGGAATGCTAGGAATAATGCTCAAGAAGCCAACACCCACTGTCCCAAGGTGAGGCCATGGTCAGGAAAGGAGTGGGGAGGAGAGCTCGCCCAGAGAAGCCCAGGCCCTTACCAGCTATGGGAGAGTTAGACAGGATGGAGAAGGAACACACATTGTGGGACTGGTTTTCAGATGGTCTAGGGAGCAGTGTTCTCTGTGAAAAAAAAACAAACAAATAATCAAGGTGATGAGAAAATTCTAATGCTAAAAAAGATCTCTCTAGAAACTAGTTTTATTCTAAGTAAAAGGCAGCCACGTATAAGTGGGCAAGGAGCTTGCTTTAGATTTGAAGACGTAAGAATACCTAGGGTAGTTGGAGGCTGTTAGGTCTTGTGGGCTCCAAATCTGGAATACTGGATTCTCTCTGAAACCCAGGGAATTAGACTTTTCCTAAGGAAAACTGGAGGAATGTCAAAGTGATCCCACTGAATCCAAAATGTTCTGGATTTAGCTGGAGCAAAACTAGGTATACACATCTGTTTAAGGGTGTCCTGGTCTTCCTTACTGGGATGAAGAAAACAAGGTGACTGCTTTTGACAAGAGATGCTCTTTCCCAAGGGTCCCACATATGAACAATGACATCAGAGGGTGCTCTGTGTGCCTTGTAATAAAACATTCACAAAAAAATACCTGCCAACCCAGAGACAATATAAGGCGCTTGAGTTTGGAGCACAGTTGCTCATGTATGAGGGACTGAAAGTACATTCAGAACAGAGACCCTCCCCGCAGCACTGCAGCACTGGTGACAGCACAGATCAGAGGGCAGATCTTGTTGAAAATACCATTGGGAAGGATCCATTAACAACTCTGTATGCTCTTTGTCTGCCTTGCTCCGAAGTCTGAGGCATGGATCAGTAAACTTTTTCTACAAAGAGCCAGGCAGGAAGTATTATAGTCTTTGGGGCCATATTTGACCCAACCACAGAAAAGCAGCCATAGGCAATACAGAAAGGAATGAACATGGCTGTTATTTATAAAAATATTAAAAGGAAAAGACCATATACCACATGATCCCATGTTAGGAAATAGTCAGAACAGGCAAATCTATAGAGATAGAAAACAGGCTGGGTGTATTGGTACATATCCGTGATTGTAGCAGTTGGGAGGCGAAGGAAAGAGGATCACTGTGATTTTGAGGCCAGCTTGGGCTACACAATGAGTTCAAAATCAGCTTGGACTACACAGTGAGACCCTGTCTCAAAAAAACAAAAAAAACTCAAAATGTAATAAACCTGAAAATAAATTAGGGGCTGTCCAACACTGGAGGGAAGGTAGTGACAGTCTACAGGTACATGGTTTATTTTGGATAATCAACATATTCTGGGAGTAGTGATGGTTCTACCTGCCCTAAATGTTATAAGCCATCAAACTGTACACTTTAAATGGGTACACTTTTTGGTATGTTAACTATACATCATGAAACTATTTTAAATAAATAATAAAAAGAACAGTTAGGCTGGATTTCCCATGGGAAATAGTTTTGGATCCTTGACTCAAGAGTTACATAGATCAGCACTTGGGAGGCTGAGGAAGGAGGATCACCACGAGTTCAAGGTCAGCCTGGGCTACATAGCAAGAGTCTGTCTCTTAAAAAAAAAAAAAAAAGAAAGTTACATAGATCATGTCCAGTCAACAATGGTTTTCTCACATCCAGGGCACAGAATTAAATAAACTATAGTTAAATGAACTAAGCCAGCCTCCACAAAAATTACCTGGAATGCATCTTTTCTTACTAAGACCTTGCATTCAACTCTCATTTTTACATAAACTAATCTCAAGAGAAAAACACTTCAGAGTCTAATAAAAAGCAAACCTGTCCATTAATGCTCCCTCCAAAATATACATTTATAAATTTCTCTCTTTTTTTTTCAGTACTGGAGAACAAATCCAGGGCATCATGCCAAATGCTCTACGACTGAGCTACATCTCTAGCCCACATTCATAGATTTCTAAGGCCATAATTATTTTAGACTTGCACTCTCACTTCCATTACTTTTCCCTTGAAATGACACTGTCCTCCTTGTCAGGTTCTCTGATGCTGTGTCTCTCCTGGAGCTGTACACAGAATGTGTAGGTCTCCCCCAGCACTCATTATATAGAACCCAGGCCTTTGCTGACCCAAACTCTGGCCAGCAGCTTCCACTGACTAAATGTGCATCAACACATGTTTTTCTTTTTTTGAGACAGGGTCTCACTGTACAGTTCAGGCTGGTCTCAATATCACTGTGTAGCTCCGGTTGGCTTTGAACTATCTGCAATCAATCTGCCTCAGTTTCCCCAATGCTAGGATTACAGGCATGTGCTACCAGGCCTGGCCCCTCAACATATGTTCTGACAGTCCTCCAAGAGACTGCGGCCTGGACATTCTTGGGACCTGGATGCTCAGAAATGTCTTTTCTGCAAACAATTTTCAATACTGACTACCTTTTATTTAGAGGTACCATTAAGCTTACTGCTGTTACTTTTATTTTCCTATTCATAAAAAGAAAGAAAAGGCCAGGAGTATCCCTACTTTATACTCTAAAAACCTGAGACACAGAAGACCAATGTGCCATGGCCAGATTGACCAGAGAGGGAGCCAAGCAATTAATGGAATTTGAGCAAAGATCCCTCACCTGGACCACCAATGGCTTCCGCAGATGCCGGTTCCGCAGTTTTCTGGGCTTTGGCAAGAAGAAGTCTGACTGCATCTGCAAGGGAAACAGCATGTGAGCCCTAAGGACTCATCTTGCAAAGTCTGGCAATCTGACCTGGCATACAAATATGGCCTGGCACTCACACTAATTGAGTTCAGGTGCTGCCGGAAAGTCAGCTCAGCTTCTTTACTGGGTGAGAAGAGTTTTCCATGTCGGCTGTTTGGAGGCAAAGTTGTAGGGACGGCAAAGAGGCCACCATCTGAATCACTGCTTCCTGTGCTGGAGGGGCCAGCCACCAAGAGCCTTGGGGGATTTCTTAAACCTGAAAAAGCAGAAAGGAAAGTCAGACAGAAACACTTACCCACAGCATGTCCAGGGTGAAGGGAATTCTGCTGAGAAGAAACTCAGGAAGAAATCCCCTGGACAGCTCTTCAGCGAAGCTATCTTATTCCTCCCACACACTGCCTTTTTTTCTCGCTTAATGGAATTCCTTTCCTCACCGAGGAAACTACTGGCTTGCTGGAGAGGATAAGCACATCACCACTGTTCCATGCTCAGTGCCCATCACTAAACTTTCCAGAGCAAGGAAGGCCTGGAAATACCATGCAGAACCAAAGCCACTAGACACTAGCAAAGGGCTAGAGAGCAATATCGGCTATGCAGCCACTCACCACACATTCACAGGTGAGCACAGCCATGTGCCAACATGATTATACACCCAAGGCAGGCAGTGGGCCAGACTTGGGCCACACCCTGTCAATTGCTGACTCTGGTCTAAATCTCTAATTTTATGGAAAATGAACCCAGAGATAAAAAGACAGAAAACATTTCACAGTTACTTTTTTGGGTCGGTACTGCTGCAAAAAGCATCCTCAGAGTTCACAGCTAGGTGGGGTACTCTGAACTGACATGCAAAGTTTGTAGGCCAGGGACTCCAAGCATCCGTACAGACTGCCAGAACTACAGGCTCCTTAGTATATAAGCATCCTCCATCAGCAAAAGGAAATTAAAGACAACATAGAAATAGGAAATTTAACAATAGAACACGAGGCGGGAGGATTGCTATGAGTTGGAGGCCAGTTACACAGTGAGACCCTGACTCCGCCCAAAAAAAGAGAGAACAGGAGGCAGCAGAGGCCAGAAGAGATATCAGCTGGTTCCCATCAGCGAATACATCTTTGTCTGTAGGACCCAGTGTCTCACGTTTGCTACTGTCTTCTGCAGCAGCCCCAGGAAAAAAACAGGAGAAAGGGAAAGGGAAAACAGAAAACAAGTCATTACAGGAGGATGTAACCCTAACTCAGCAGCAGTCTAGATCCCCTCAAAGGCCACCAAGAAGGACCCTAAAGCAAACAAGAGTCCTTAACAAGCAGGTCATCTGTAACACAGTAAGACAGAAAAATCATAAGGCCAATGACATTCTCTGAATAGAAAACAATCTTGGAGAACTATTAACATATCAGGACTGTATGTCTGCTGGTTAAAAAGTTACTATATTTTTGGTACCTGTCTACTCCTGAATTTTGTCTACCCTAGGGTGTGAACTCCGCAAAGCTAGAGGTGGGGCTGTCACCTAAGGATGTATAGATGCTGGGCAGGGTGGCTCCCATAGCATCCAGAACAACACCCTTAATACCAAAGTGTGAGAAGGCCTTAGGAGCATAGGACAAGAGTATTCCAGAGGGGCTGGGGATTTAGCTCAGTGGCAAAAGCGCCTGCCTGGCAAGCGCAAGGTTGTGAGTTCGGTTCCCGGTACCGGAGAAAAACCAAAAAAAAAAAAAGAGTATTCCAGGTCTTACTCCTAAGCCTCTCAGGCCACTCCTATCCTATTGGGTCAGTCTACGGAAGAGCTGTATGACTGCTCCTAGGCTTCAGGAGCAAGACTACAGCCCACACTTATCCACTCAGTCACCCAGCTACACAGTGGCAGGAGAGGGTACACATGCCTGGGATACATGGGCAAAGCCACAGAGAGCATTCATACTTCTCATCTACCTCTAACGTGGTTCATGTACAATCACTACTCTAGCACAATAATCTCTTTCACCATACAAATACTAAAGGTTTAAATAAAGTAAAATTGATGCCCAGGAAAATGGGCATGCTTATCTGGGGGGTTCATGTCCCCAGTGACAAAATTAATGAACTATGAATTTAAACTAGTTCCTAGGAGCTGGGAGTGTAGCTCAGGAGTATAGTGCCTGCCTAGGCTGCATAAGGCCATGAATTCATTTCCATCATCACACACACGAAAACATTTCCTAAATGTAAATGGGGTAGGGTACACTGTAAATGGCAGGTTACTTGACCTTTCTTTCTAAGACTGTGGTAAACTGCTGATATATGCCTTTAAGGAAGGCCGCCTTATTCTCATGTTTTAGATGCAAAGAAACACAGCTGCCATGGATTAAGACAGAACCAGCCCTCTTCAGGACTGTAAGCCATTAAGTGAGCATAATATGGAGGTTTCTCCTGACCTCATGAATAGCGACCAAACCAGGTAAGGGCACTAGTCCTCTACTTCTCACCGACCGCTGCACCCCATGACCCAAGCCCTTTATGGTGAGCCCCTAGCTCACCCTCTCCACAGGAGGTGAAACAAGCACCTTCACCCTGACCACTGGACCATGGATGACTGGATGATAGGGTCAGTCTCAGACACACCTGTGTTTTTAGCTTCTGCACAGTCCCCAAAGCCATCAGGCTTCCCCAAGCCTCACCTGGGGTGCAAGATGTGGAACTCGGTGGGAAGGTCTTGCTGCTGCGAAGGGCAGACTGGTTTCGAGGACAGCGAGGGCTCCGGGAGCTGATGGTTACCACTTTCCCTGGGGGAGTCACTGACTGTTCCTCCTGGGCAGGCCTCACTGAGGCATTTGTTTCTGGAGCCTGAATAGAAATGGGTCAAAAAAATGTGTAAACTTACTAGGCATAATGGTGCATACCTGTAGGCATAATGGTGCATACCTGTAATCCCAGCATTGTGGGAGGCTAAGCAGGAGGATCACAAGTTCAACCCAGCCTAGACAAATACTGACTTAGTGAACCCTAATTCAAAACTAAAACAATAAAAAACAGATCTGGGGATGGAGTTCAGTGCAAAGTCCTGGTTCATTTTGCAGTACCTGGGCAGGAGGAGGGGTGGTACATTAGCACTCAAAAACCAGCTTTGACAAAGCACCCCAAGGAGGAAATGTGAGAATGATCTTGAGAATTTAGAAGCTGTCATGACCTGATTTCCACGACATCAAACATCAGGGGTCATCAACACCTGACTTTAGCATTGCCCAAAGTTACTCAGCAATTTGCCAATTTTAAAACTCCCCGGATAAAACAAAATTAAGTACAAATCAGCAGTCAGTAAGTAATGAAAGCAACTTCTATCTTTCTCAGGAGAGCCCCTGTATATCTCCACTGCTTGAACATAGGCATGACAACCAGTAGGCAGTCCTACACACAGGAAGGGAACAGGGTCCAACATGTCTGGGTTTCATTCACTCTGAGCAGGGTCAAAACTGCAAGGAGGAGGTTCTGAATAAACAATAGCTTGCTTTTTAAAAAAAGCCACAGGAAGACCCCAGTGCAAGACAACTGCAGTAGCTTCTTCTGCTGTGTGTCAGGGAAGAGAAATAGATTTACCCCAGAGAGAAAACAGTCAGAGACCAAGAGTTCTTTGCTAGGTCAAAGACTCACCCTCACAAGTGTCAGGGATCCCTGTAGAGACTTCTGTTGAGTCTGAGGCCCTGCAGAGATGCCCTACCCTGCAATTCCACCTCTGTTCTTGTCCTGGTACCCTCACCACCCCTGGGAAAACCTGATCGGAAGCCCCAACTCTCAGCTCTTCTCCCCTCTGTTCCTCAGCACTCAACACCAAGGTCCTTCCTTGAGTCACCTTACCTCTGTACTCTGCAACCCTGTTCCAGCCATGTGCAGCTCACAGATGTCCCAGGGGCTCATCAACAAAGTCTGTGAGGTGCATCCTAGAATCTGCATTTCTAACCAGTTCCAGCTGACACTGAGGCTGCCGGCTTTGACCCACTCTAGGTATTCAGCTGAGATTCCTGCTCACTGCTCTCTAGTAGAATACTGTGCCAACATGTCCTGCCAGGACTACTCAGTGCTCCAGACCTTCCACTGCCTCCCCTAAGGCACTTCAGCCATGCCACCTCTCCATGAAAAACCACACTTGAAAAAGTCACAGCTCACTCAACAGCCCTAAAACCTAGCCAGTTCAGGGGTCATCTCACACTGCTAAAATTTGGTTACCAGCAACACCATGTCTGGCCTTAGGGGCTCCTTTGCTTTGGGCTTGGTCATACTTTCCTTGGGATTCCCGTGGGGCACAGCTTGGCCCACTCACCAGCTTGGGGTTGACTTCTGTTGAGATGAGCTTCAGCAGGCAGCTCAGCAGGCGCTGTTCATGGAGGGTGGTAGGTGGGGAGCCAGGGCGGGTGGCCTGGCTCTGCCCTCCAGGGGCTTGGCCCTCAGGGCCCAACACAGCCAGCCAGTCATATTCCAGCTGTAACTTGCTTGGCTTGCCCATCATGAGGTAGACTTCGGCCAGCGTAAGGCTTTCAGAGGTCTGCAGGCTCCAGCCCTCCTCACGAAGCTGCTGGGCCAACCGGCTGGCAGGGACTTCCTTTGGGGGCCTGGAAGTAGACTGTCCCTGAGGCAGCGGAGGCTCTGAGGGGCTCCCTTTCTCTTGGGGCTCCTCTGCAGGTGTGTCTGCTGGCTCTTTTGTGCAAACATCCAGCAGGAGTCCAGGGCCAGAGGCAGGGCCAGACTGTGGGTCTGGGCCAGAGACAGGAAGGTTGGCAGCCTCTTTGTTACTGGGGGCAAGAGTCTCTGGGGAAGCAGCCCTGCCCACAGGGGGCTGCTCACTCCTGGGCCGAGCATCCGCACAGCGGCACTGCTCAGGGACAATGAGGTCCTGACAGGACTTCAGGTAGCGGGGCAAAGGGTCGAGGAGTGACAGCTCGTCCTCCAGGTCTGGGAGCTGGCTGCAGGCACACAGCAGGGACCCTGGTTCTTGAGCAGAACCATCCCCACCCTCTGTAGGAGGCACTGCAGGGGTCTTCTCAAGATGCAGCAGAGAGTCCTGGTGCCCTGAAGGAGGCCTGTCAGGAGCATCCGGGCTGCTCAGACTAGGGATGGCTCCCTCCCCAGGGGCACTCTCAGGGGAACTCTCCCCAGAGCTCTGTGAAGTATCGGTGGTGGGAGGAGGCCGCCCCCCACCCCTGCCCTCAGTGCTGCCCCTTGGGCACTTCACCTGGCCCCGGGCTGTGCCTTGCCCACTCTGGATACCCAGGATTTGGGCTGGGGGCAGCGAATGGGTGTCCTTGGCACTCTGCTTGCAGCGGCCACCCTCCTGCCAGTGCACTGTGCAGAAGGCCTTGGAGTGCACCACCCGAGCCACACCAGGCAGCGGGGTCAATGTGCAGTTCTCGCCTGGGAATAGGTGCAGCGTAACCTTCTCTTGCATCTGTGCAGGGTTCATGCCCTGTAGCTGCCCCTCTTCGAGGGTCTTCCTCTGGGTGCACTGTCAAGGAACAATCCCCACCATCTATACCTTGGTCAAACTAGTCAGAGGCACTGGGCCATAGACCCATTCTACATGGTAGAGCCTTTGATGGGACCAGTACCTACTCTTGGCATCACTGGGGCTCAGATGTGTCCCCTGATTCCTGACCTAGGGACTTTCCTTACGCCACTACTAAGCAACGCTGGCCCAACAGCCAGCCAAGAAAATAAAAGACTCTGGGTTATACCTAGGTCATGTCACACAGTCTGCTGGTAGGGTGATCTGGCCACACTGCATGGGCTATGAAGAGCTGCCTGTGGTTGAGTGCTACCACTTCAAGGTCAAAGGTTGGTCAAAATCCAGGGAGTAAAGAGCTCCCCACATCTCCATAGCAATGACAGGGATTCAGAAGCAAGGCTCCATTCTCAAAAAGGAGCAGCCACAGAGTTTGGAAGGTTTGCTTTAGTCAGAAAAAGATACAATTCGCACTTCATGGAGTGCCCACTTCTGCTTCAAGAACTCGATGAGGCTGGAGACCTTTCTATGCAGCTCCACAATCATCCTACAGAGAGACAGAGGAGGCTGTTATAAAGGGGCAGGAGCTCCCAACTACCCATGGGTGCAGTTGCTTTCACATGTGGTTGCCCACACCAAGGCCATGTGGCAAAGAGATGTGGGGCAGCTCCTCAAAAGGAGTAGCAAAGAGGGGCCATCAGCAGGACCTCAGCTTTTTCTTAAAAGCATCCCTGTCTGTTAAAATCACAATAAATTTACATGAAGTTATAAAAAAAAATAACACAGAGAAGGCAAGGCCTGGTGATGCATGCCTGTAATCCCAGCACATGGAGGCTGAAGCAAGAGGATTATCAAATTCCAGCCCAGCTTGAGCTAATCCAAGACCAGCCTGAAGTATACAGTGACACCCTGTCTCAAAAAAACCCAAAAACAAAAAAAAACACAAGAGAGATCCATATACCATTCACCAGCATGAGAACTATCCAGGAATGTTGGTACCATCACCACCTAGTCTCCTAATGTCTTATGAGTTCAATTAACCCTAAGAAAATCAAACACACACAAGGTGGGATGAAGCACTGATACATGCTACACATGAGAAAACCTCAAGAACACTGTGTACGGTGCGAGTAACCAGACATAGTAGATATCTGTGTATGACTCTGTTGATACAGAATGTCTAGAAGAGGAAAATGCACTGAGACAGAAAGTAGACTGCCAGGGCTTAGAGAAAGGAGAACATCAGGGAGTGACTGGTAACAGCACAGTGTAAAATAGAGATGGAGGTTGTGCAACACTGTGAACACACTAAACACTCAACTGCGTAAACTTTCAAGTGGCTATGGTTCATTTTAGGTTGTATAAACTTTTTCTCAATTAAAAAAATGTATAAATGGAAAATGACAGTGTCCCATGATTAGACAAATCTTTGGAGAGCTGGGGAAGGGGAAATGCAGGAGGGTCATGGGGGTTCTGTAGCTGTTCAACCTTCTCCCCATGACACCATCTTATAGCTCCCATCTGCCATCCATGATCCTGCATAGGGGTAGAGCTGCAGCTCAGTGACTCAAGGTCTCACAGATGGTTTGATCACAACACTCCTATAACACAGTCACCTCCAGACTTTGCTATTTTTTAGCATATGCTGTGCTATGTTTTTCAGCATAGCAAAAAAACAATAAAAACAAAACAAAATGCACAACAGACTCTCTCCTTAGTTGGTATCAGAGAACTGGGCTGAGACTAGCTTTTTACCAGAAATTCCCTCAGTAACCCACATACAAATACTGTGGGGTATGTGTTAGTCACCCGATCCCCCAACTCTGCCCCCAGAATCCTGCATCACCTGAGGCGTGGGTTCTGGGCAAGGCTCTGCACTCGGGCCCAGGCATGGTTGTTTCGTGGTTGTAGCTCTACAGGGACTTTCAAGGGCAGGCGCACTGGCTTCTGGTCCTCTTCATCACTCAGGCCTGCAAAAGGAGAGACCATGAAAGCCTAGCACAGATCAAGCTTGGGGCAGAAAGCAAAGTACATCGAAAACCAACAGTGTGGGCAGACTGTCTTGTGACTAGACCTAAGGAAATTAGAGAACCCATAGCCAAGGAGAAATTCAGTGTGGTCACTTGCACATTTGCCAAGGCAAAGCCATGGACCAGCCATAGAGAGGCCACGAGAGGAGCAAGCCCACGGGGTTGACCCATCTATCAGAATTCTTCCATGGCTTCAGGGTTAAACTTGACTCAATGAGTGGAAATGAGTCTTCAAATTCATGTGCCTAGCATGGCTAGGCACAAAGCAACTGCAGCAGCTCAGCATGTCCACCATGAAATGGGACAAAACCACCACGTGAGCTACAAGCCACACCAGCCTTTCCCTTAGTTACCTACCATCAGGATCGCAAAGCTTCTTCAGGGCCCGGCACATGGGGGCTTTGATTCGGAGGTTTCTCCCTTTGTAACGTACTGTGGTAGCCCTGGGAAAAAAGAATTTTGAAGAGATGCTGAGACCTCTGAATGAATGGAAGTGAGGGAAGACCCGTGTGTCCAAGACACATCAAGTAGGAGGAAGTGCCAGCCCCAAGCGGGTTTCCGCACTGTCCCCATATCACCACCCAGGATGGTGCAGAGGCAGCAGGCAGCAGGCAGCACTGTACCTCTAGACATCTGATATTTTCCTGACCAGGGGGTGACTGTTGTTTACAGGAAATGGATCATCCCTTCTTGCCTCAGTAAGTTATGTGGCACAAGCTATTGTCCCATGCCTTTACCCACCACTATGGAGCTAGGCAGACAGCTGCTCTTCTTTCCACCTGCTCTATTTCCATGCACTCCTCCTACTTGGGGCTCAGAAAAGAAGCTATCAAACTACCCCTATGTGATCTTCATGTGAGCTCTCAATCTACCTCTACATAACCTCTACATGATCACTTCATGATCACCTTACCACATCAATGCTGTACCCCATTCCTCTGGCAAGGACAGAGTACCAGCAGCCAGAGCAAGATGTCACAGGCTCATGCTCAGAGTCCTCAGGCTGGCCCCAAATTTGTCTGCCCCAGCTGCAGTGTATTAGAATGACATGAATTAAAGATATACTATATGACTACTGAAATGAGTATGGAAGCAATTAGAATGATTCCTTCTAAAAAACACAGCTGGAATGCTTCCAAAATGCTCAACAAAGAGGCCAGGAAAGACTCAATAATCGTAGGTCTTTTTAGCCAGGTGTGGTTCCACATGCCTGTAATCCCAGCACTCGGGAGGCTGGGACAGAACTGCAAGTTTGAAGCAGGCCTAGGCCGCTTAGGGAGTTCAAGGCCAGCCTCAACTACAAAGTGAAACCCTTCACAAACAAACAAACAAGGTCTTTTTTTTTTTTTTTGATTAAGTTTATTGGTACATTTTAGGTATACATAATTACATTCGTTATAGATAATTTACACCTATATATGATATAACAATTCTTTTTTATCCCTATTCCCCTACCCTCCCTTTAACCCCTCTTCCACTTTTTCCTTCTTTTTTCATTATTTTTTTCCCTTCTTTCCTTTTCCCCTCCCCCCTCCCCAGTTCCCTTTCCCATTTGGACATTTTCTTCCTATTTCACAGTATCTATTAACATTTTTGTCCTTATTTATACTTTTAGTTTCTCACAGCAGAGAAACAATTCAGTATTTACACATCTGTGTCCAAATTATTTCACATAAAAGCATGGCCTCAAGGTGCATGCATTTACCTAGAAATGTTTCAAGCTTATCCTTCTTTATGAAATAGTATTCCACTGTGTATATATATATATATATATATATTAAAAAAAAAACACATCTTCTTTATCCTATCATCAGCTGATATGCATTTGGGCTATTTCCAAGATTTAGCTATTACAAACTGTGCCACTATAAAAATGAGTGTGCACATATTACTGTGGTATGATACTTTTAATTCTTTCGGGAAGATACCAAGAAGAGGAATAGCTGGGCCAAATGGAAGCTCTAGTCCTAGCTTTTTGAGGAATGCCCACATTGATTTCCACAGTCTACACTACCACCAACAGTCGAGAAGGGTTCCCCCACAGGCCCTCTAACATATTATTGATTTGTTACTGACTTCCCCATTCCCCTACCTTCCCTTTAATCCTTCCTCCACTTTTTCCTTCTTTTTTCATCATTTTTCCCTTCTTCCTCCCGCCCCTCCAGTTCCCTTTCCCGTTTGGACATTTTCAAATGTCCAAATGGGGTGAGATATGGAATCTCAGTGTTGTTTAAATTTGCATTTCTTTAAGTACCAATGATGTTGAAAATTTTTTCATATATTTATTTGCCATTTCTATTTCTTCATCTAAGAAGTGTCTACTTCAGATGCCCATTTCTGGACTGAGTCTTTAAATCTGGGGGACCTGATTCTTTTGAGTTCTTTATATATTCTAGATAGTCATCCTTGTCTGAGGAGCAGCTGGGAAAGAATTTTTCCCATCCTGTGGGTTGTCTCTTCACTCTGTTGGTGGTTTCTCTTGCTACGCAAAAGCTTTTTAATAAGATGAGATCCCAGTTGATGATTCTGTGTAATATTTCTCTTGTGGACTGGGTTTTGTTTAGAAAGTCTTTGCCTATACCAATGTCTTCAAGAGTTCTACCTATTCTATCTCCCCACAGATTTGGTGTTTCTGTTTTAATATACAGATTTCTGATCCATTTTTATTTTAGTTTAGTGCATAGTGAGATACAGCTCTAGTTTTTCTTCGGCGTGTGGAAAGCCTATTTTTCCAGCACTATTAAAGAGGTTATCTTTCTTCCAGTGAACGTGTTTGGCATCTTTGTCAAAAATGTGGTGGTTATGTCTGGAGTTGTTTCTGCATCTTCTAGTCTGTTCTGTTAGTTTGCAGGTCTCTTTTTTGGTCAGTACCATGCTGTTTTTAATCACAGTAACTTTGCAGTATAATTTCAAGTCAGGGATTGCGAAGCCCCGTGCTTTGCCTTGATTGCCCAGAACTGCTTTTGGTATTCTAGGTCTCTTCTGGTTCCAAATGAATTTTAGGATTGTTTTCTGTATTTCTGTGAGATACACTGTTGGTATTTTGAATGGGACTGCATTATATCTGTGTAACAATTTTGGAAGTATGGCCATTTTCACTATATTGGTTCTTTCTACCCAAGAAAAAGGGATATCTTTCCATTTTGTGATATCCTCTTCAATCTTTTTCAGCGTACTGTAGTTTTCAATGTAGAGGTCTTTTAGTTCCTTCATCAGATTGATTCCTAGGTATTTCATTCTTTTGGATGCTACTGTGAAAGGTGTTATTTTCCTAATTCCTCTCTCACTGAGTTTGTTATTTGTGTGCAGGAAGACTATTAATTTTTGAGTGTTGACTTTGTATTCAGCTATGCTACTGAATTTGCTTGTTAAATCAAGAAGTCTTTTGGTGGAGTTTTTGGGATCGTCTATGTAGAATATCATGTTATCTGCAAATAATGGTAATTTGACTTCTACCTTTCCCATCATTATTCCTTTTATTTCTTTCTCTTGTCTAATTATTCCAGTTAATGTTTCCAGAAGTATACTGAATAAGAGTGGTAACAGTGGATATTCTTGTCTTATTCCTGATTTTAGAGTGAAAGCTTTCAGTTTTTGTCCATTTAGTATGACATTGGCTGTTAAACAAGGTCATTTTAACAGTAACAGCCAAATGATGTATGGGAAGGACAATTAAGACTGGCCCTGATCAGATTCAAGTCTTGTTGCTCTGGACTCAGGTTTTCTCCTCCCTTTAAACCTGAGAAGCAAAAAATAGATTCACCTTGACTGGAGTTTCTGATCTGAGAATAACATGAAACTCCAAGGTGTGGATCTCCACAGAAGAAAAGACTTTGGCTCTAGCTGCCCAGGGGTGGTGGAGTAATGTGAGTTAATATTTTATGAAATGCTCATGGTGTATATCTATTATTTTATAACTTTCTACTTCAACCAACTTTTTTGACTGACCCATTCCCAGCTGTGATCATGTCTGTTAAGACAGCTGCTTCTGTACTTGTTCAGTTTCTTTTTCTTTTCTTTTTTTTTGGTACCAGGAATTGAACTCAGGACCTTGAGCTTGTCAGGCACACGCCATACCACTGAGCTATATCCCTGGCCCCTACTTGTTCAATTTCTGTAAGAATTCTGTTAGAAAACTGACAGCACACACACAGGCAGAGTGTGATTCTAAAAACATGCAATTACAAATTACATGCCTACAAGTTTATATTTGTATCTGTACATTTATAAATGTAAATTTTTCATTAGTATAGTACATGTTTGTGATACATAATGAATACACTTATCATGGGGTATTGGTACATATGCATACTGCATTGTGGGGACAGAGTTTCCCTATGTATTTCAGGCTAGTCTTAATTCACTATGTAGCACAAGATGGCCTCCTTCCTCCCCTCTTCCTCCATCCTTAGTTCCCCTTCCCATCTCAGAAAGGTCTACAACTCTTTTTCTTATCATCTATCTTTTATTTTGCTCTTTATTTGTACTTTGGGTTGTTCATATAAGAGAACCCATGCAATATATAAATGGAAATTTCCTAAGAAAAAAATTTATTAGGATACACATTTTTGGCAAGGGTAACAGATGAGTTTGCACTGTCTGAAAATCTTAAGAGACTATATTTATGAAAGAGTATAATTAAAAAAAATTTATTCTAAGACAATACTGCTTAAAATTGGACATTACAATGCAAACTATGACTTAAAACCCAACAAACACAAGTGCCTCTCTCTGCTGGCTTCTCACAGTCTAACAGAAAAAGCAGCTCACTTGTACATATCTATAAGAGAAGACAGCTCCAGCAGCCTCAGACAGGTAGAAAGGATGACACTACAATGGCTATCTCTTCTCTGAAAAGTAATACAGCTCTAATTTCAGCATTATGGAGTCTCAATACTGTACACAGTGAATTTTACCACTGCCCTGAAAACCTTTAAGGCTTTGGGTAAACAAATAGTGAGTGTCATGAGGGAGATAGTACCTGAGTACAGGCATGTGACATAGAAAGCTCAATGACTCCTCATGCCATGGCAGCTACAACTCCATCCATCCATCCATCCATCCATCTATCCATCCTCTTATCTGTTCAAACATCCCCTCTACTACCTTTCATTACTCCATCCACACCTCTCATTCATTCATCTGTGCATTCACTCATTCTTCCACACATCTGTTCACACATCTGTCCATCTGCACATTCACCTATCCACTTAACCCACCCAGGTAACTGACTCAATTCCCTCTGTGCTGGATACCAAAGAGCAGAGTTCAAATTTGGAAAGCCTGGCCAAAAAGGCAAGGCATTCTAGGAGGAAAGCTTCCAGCCCCTATTCACTTTTGGTGAGGAGGAATAGTTTAAAGAAAATGAGTCTCAAAGTAACAACGTGTTCTATTAAGTCAAATTCCTGAATCACCTTAGTCCAAGTGAAAGTCCCAGATGATA